ATTCACATAATCCCACCAGAGGTCAAGGAAACTTGGCAGAGTGATATACTAAAATATTAACATTGCAAAGACATGTTTTGTATAGAAAAGATGGCCAAAGAATAGTGTTTTGTGTTTTTGATGGGTGAGAACATGTGTAACCTAACTGAAAGGAAAAAATAAACCCTCTGACACTGGATTAGCATTTGATTAAGAAGGAAAATGTTGCTTGCAGTTTAGTATATGCAACCTGAAAATGGTCAAGTTCTTGTAATTATGAGTGCATCAGAGTATAGAATTCTATGCTGTTTGTTAGAGAGCATGATGAATTATTCAGTGTTATACAATGAGCTTTCTCCACTTCCATATTTGTAAATTTTCTGCATTATCTTAGGAAATCTAACATTACGTAACTGCCTTATTTCTCTCTTGGCAACCATGAATCACACTGTTTTCAGGCTGTCACATCACCCCTCAGATAGGGTTTTGCAGTCCTTCGAGGGCCATGTTTTACAGTAAATCCTCATTTCTTAAAAATAACTACACCACTCTCTGTGATATGAATTGTTCAGCTAATCCCACTACAGTACTTCAGAATATGAATATTTTTAAATTTTTGCTATCTTTTCTTAAATTATGTCTTCCATGCTTATAGAAGGGAGGGTTCATGTGCCTCTAAAGGGCATTTTTTAATGAAAGATGACAATAACAGTGCATTCTGTGTTGGTCTGACACACAGATGCTTTTGTTCCTTACGCTAAACAAGCAACTGTAAGAGTTGCTTGAGCACAAGAGAGTAGCCAGTTTTCCCGCACAGCTGCTGAGGCCTGCGAATAACAAAAAGAGGCATACAGAGCATTCCCCCAGATACTTTAAACTGGGTTCCTTCACTGCAGTGATACAAATGCTTTTAGCCTGAGAGCTGAGTGTCTTCCAGTGCTTGTAAAACTCAAGCAGAGAAGTAATGCTTTCTCAACCCAGCTTTTCTGTAGTGTTGCTACCTCTTGGACACTCTAAAGAAAGATTTTGCCACAAGTTGAGTTTCACAGACAGTGTATACCATGTGCTATCAAAGAGATGATATGGCTGGAGCAGGATGAAAAAAAGTGTACCTGCAAGTAGTCTACTTTTGTTTCTGATTCTTTCACCACAAAGATAAATATAACATTTATAATTATGACACATTGTACTAGGAATAAGGAGATCTGGGTTTTACAGTTCCAGATCTCTAATTTATAGTAAAACAATGGACAGGAATAGAACACTTACCTCTGTAAGGTTAATGTGTATGTGAAATAAAGTTGATGTTTCTCTTTGAATTCTTGTTTCAGAAGGGTGAAAAAATGCTATGAAGGCTGCTCTGAAAGTAACATCTCCTATTTTATTGTGCTGGCTGGTAAAAATGCTAATGGTGGTGACAATGTTGAAAAACAATGTTTTGTAGCTGAGAGTTCACTCTACCAAAAAGTGTTTTCATAATCTTTGTATCTGTTGTAGTTTCCATGGAAATAAATAGGAGGCATTACTTTCTGAGCAACCTACATACATTCAAGATATATGATTCTTCCTTAAATTTGCTAAAGGCTTTTTTTCCAAAGTGAAACTGTTATAACACAAGGTATCTATGTGTGCAGTCCAGCACTATGATCTTCTAACTTTTAATAAATCTTGTCCTCGCAAATCCTTTCAGACCTTCTGAAACACTTTAACTTTGGCCTCGTTGAGTTTTTTCATTTTATGTGCAGTACATATCTATACCTTCTTCATCTACAAATGGTAACAGGCTACATCCAATAATGCAACAGGAAGTTTTAAACACCAAAAGGACAAGCTAAGGCAAAAGATCTTACAACATGATGGTCTTAAAGGATGAGAGGTTAATTGTGGAGCTATCTCTCTGGATGAGAGAGTTGCAAATGAGATAATAGGACAGAAAATTATTATTGAATGTAGGAAGACTGTAAAAAAGCAGGAAAAAGGAAAGACAGCCAGAGTTGTAGAGGAAGCCACAAATAACCACACAAAAACTGAGGGGAGGATCCTATGAAGCATCACCAGTCTCTTTCCACTTCCTTTTCCTCTTTCCTCTTTCCACTTCCTTTTCCTCTGTCAGAGCCATTGCTATATAAAATAATGTTAGATTAAAATCACTTCTACTTAGGTCTCTAATGCGAGTTAATTAGTAACAACTAACAGTTAACAATGCTTTCCCTATGAGTGTATGCTAAGAGGAATGAAGCCTTGTCTGGCAGATAAATGGTAACTATTTCAACTATTTGTCTTACAATCCTGTATGTACAGCTATTATTTCAGTTAGACACTGGCAGCTCTGCAATTGTTCATAGTCTCAGTGAAGAATAGTACCTGACAAGCTGTTTGAGTGCTCCGCTTTTTAGCAGACCTGTTTCCAGCTTGTCTGAAATGCTGAAAAACAACACATGGGAGAGCAACAAAAATGAACAGATATCCAGATGACCAAGGGTACTCATTTCTCCATACATACTTTTAAAAACTACTCAGAAACACTCTGAAGAAATTTTGCAACAAAATCACACATGGTACTCCAGTGACTTGTGAGAAAACACTGATCACAAGATCTCTACCACTGCTGTTCTTTTCTGTTTAGCTCACTTGAGCTTAGTGAGATAGCTTAGTGAATACCGAATAGTTTTTACTCATCTGCTCACCAGTATAAGTGATTTCTATGAAAAATACTAAGGTTCAGAAAAGTGTCAGTGTGGTAAAACTGATTTTAAAAATGTTCAAACAATGAACCAAATATTTTTTATTCTTGCAGGATACATTTACAATAACAAGCTGCATTACACTAGCTGAATTACATTAGGAATTATTAAAAAAATGCTCTTCTGATTAATATCTGTTCTGATCCACCAGAGAACTATTTCTTTTACTGTAAGTTTCATCCAGCTTGGGCATCAAGCATGTATATGAAACTGAATAGCAGATAGACGACAAGCATTCTAGCAGTTTTTTTTCCTAAAAATGTACTTCAATCATTTGATTATATTTGTCTACAGGGCATTTTGAGATTAGAATCTTAGGCCCCCTAAGGTATTATTAAAAAAAGTGATAGTGGCAGAGTCACTTCATACTTGATATAATTCTACAAGCAGCGCTCATTTTAATATATGGAATTTCTTCTATGTGTTTATAGAACATCACCCTCATAGTTTTATATTCCCATAGCTCAAGGTGAATTTCTTCTGTAGACTGGCGAAAGAAAGCAATAACAATTTATGAATAAGAATTTTACAACAAACAGACAAAATAAACAGTTATTTTTATCCTGTATCATTTAGGTAGAAAAATTACTTATGTTAAGCAGGGTCTGGAATGTCCTTCTACCTAGTTTCCGTTACTTTTTAAAAAATTATTATTACAGTATTCTTTATAAAAACAGATTTCATAATTCCAGTGAACACTAGAAGAATTATATTTCTAGTAGAACAGAACAAAAAGGTAGAGTAAGATGAAAGAAAGCGTTATTTACAAATCATTTGTTTTTCAAGTAGACAACAAAAATAATCCAAGGACAGTTTTGTTTTGTCCACATTTGAAGTATTTAATGACAAAAAAAAAAAAAAAAAAAAAGGATTTCCAGTAATTACACAAGAGAACAGGTCCCACTTTTTGTTTCCCCAGAATGGCACAAAATTTCTACATCCCTGGGAACTTTTGAGGAATTGGATACATAGATAACAGCAACTATTACAATTTTAGTAAATCATAGCAATACCTACCAACATTTTAGGAGCACATTCTTGTTAATATATTTCACATGATGCACAATTTTTTCTAGACTCAAAGATAGCCTTTTAGGACAGAATTTGCAGCACAGCAGTTTTAAGTCTAACAATGCATTATTTTTTTCTTTGCAGAACTTTAAAAAGATAAACTATTGATGTTGTTACAATTTACAAATACATTCTTTCATATGAATCATTAACCTGAATTATAGCATATGCTATGTACATCACTGTCTAATAATACTATGTTGTATATGCTACAAACTAATTTCCAGGAGGAAATTACAATGCTATAAGATTTATCTCTGTATGGACATTTATACAACTCTTTTTTTTCTTTTTTTTTTTTCTTTTTTTTTTTTCTTCCTACAAACTACCAAATCTAGTAGTTAAATGAACAGCAAGAAGAAGGTGAATACATAAATAACCCCCTTTTCCTTCATTTGGTAACACTAAGTTAGTCAGAATTTTGATAGTAAATGGCTTTTTATGGCTGGATAAAAGACCTGAGTTATGATACGTAACACAATACTATTAACTGGAGAATATACAAAAAAATCCTGAAGAACTGTCATTGGGATTAAAGCAGTGTTTTAGAGCAGCTGAACTCACAAAAGATCTAGAACTTAGTGGTGCAACTGTGACCTTGACCTTTTCAGCAGAAATTCATGTAAAAATCTGAAAATCTATCACATTTTTATCTGAATTTAGACAATTCTTATCAATTTAATGATGCTAAATTTGTATAAATGATTGTATGGTACTACATAGATGACAAATATATGACTTCTGTCAGTTTTCAGTGTACAGTTAAATAATAAGCATCATAGAAAACAGTTTAAATTATTTAAAAAATAGATGTACATTTTGAATGTAGCTATAAGAAGTCATATCTTAAAGTTTTCCTAAAGACAAACATCTTTTTACAAGCCAGAACTTCAGTTACATCAGCTTGTGGTAATTAAAGTATCCTTAATTGTGACAGAAGATTTTATCTTTTGTCAAGTACTGCTTGGAGGACTTTAGATTGTTTAAAGTGTCATTAACAATGGAAATATCTTATTCTCCATTGAAAATGAAAACCAAAGTGCATTCATTTAATGCCGGCTCTCTGGCTCTCCAGTAAGATGAGGACAAAAGTTTCTGAAGTGCACTGCTTTTAAAGTGCATACATCTCCAGAAAATGAAGACTGAAACTTCTGCTAAGATTTCTGTTTCTTAATTTGAGAAGCATGTTTGAATGTTATAAAAATATTTAAAAAAAAAACAGCTTTAAAGAAAAAAAAGAGTAACCTATTTATCTTTGAAAAAGAATATAATACACATATTGCACACAATGGATACAGAATGAAGTAGGGAGTCACACTTCCAGTGATAATGTATACTGAAAACCGATGCTCAAACCAAAGGTATGATTTTACTACACTAATACACACTTTATAAAAGCACCTATTTTAAAAATCAGATGATCAACTAAGACGAAGGTAACTCTCATCAAATTTCTGAAGAGTATTCCCTAAAATTTTTACTGTAACATTTATGAATAACCAAGGATATGGAAAGCAGTGCGTTCTCTTTTGCATCCATCTTTAACTAGAGAAGCACAGGTAAAAAATAATATGAGATGTTATTTTACACCAGATTGCTAGACACTAGATTATTTTTGAGGCACAGCTATATGTATAGGTTTATCATTCTCTTTTTTCCTCAATTTTGAAACATCACACCTACATTCACTGTATGTTTCTTTCATTTTTCTCTTCAAATAATCCATCTGGAAGTTAAAATAGAAATATTCAAAATGCAGCACTGGAAACAGATTCCCCTATGAAATTCAGATATGCCCTTCGGAATGCTGGTGTTGGCACATGCAAAACTTTCTACGCTGGATAGGCTAAACCAGTTTTCTTTTTCCCAAGGCAATATTCTCCACCACAGTTAAATCCTCATGTGTTTAATTCCAACATTCATATTCTGCTGATGCTACATAAATTCAAGAAATGTGTACCCTTTCTTTGGATTTTATTTCTGCATTCATGTCTGCACTTAGTTAAAATACTCTTCTATGCAATACCAGGAAGGAGTACTCGGGAAGAATATTACTATTTTAATCCGGATCAACTTTGTCATTTGGTCCAGCTCCCCTGTTTGCTTTAGCTCCTGTAATAAACAGAAATAGAGGTACAAAGTACTGCAAGATTTTGTCGCAGTATTACAAAAGAGGAACAAAATGTAAGTCAAAAAGGTAGAAAAGCAACATCTTTTCCTGCACGGAAGCTGAAAGAATGCATCTCCACTGAACCGGAAGGAAAAAAAAACACACACAATCCTTCATCTCCTGTAAAAACTGCTGAACCTAGGCTTTTCAGTTTCTTTCGAGAATATTTCAACTTTGGGCAGTATCTCAGCATTTGTGCTTCATCGCAAGCTGAAAAGAAAGAAAAGAAAGATGAAATAATGAATTTATTTGCTTTCAGAGCTGTGTTTCCCAGTGTTCTATTGTTTTGCTTTACATGATGATGGCTGTGTGTATAAGCAAGAGCCCAGAAATAGAGGCACATGTAATAAAAGAAAGACCAAATTATTTGATTAAGTCCCTGTAATTCTATACAGATAATTTAAACAGTTGTTCAGCAGCTCTGCCATTACACGATGATGAAAAACGATTGTCTTTCTGCCCCTGCAATTACTAAATATTTCAATTCCAAGTAATAAAAAATGGACTGAAAGCTGGTAATAAGAGGGATAAGGCAAAACTAAAGCGAGATGAATGCCATATAAAAACTGCAGAAAAACTGATTTTGCCAAATCAAGTAAAGAACTTTGTTTTAAATCTCATATAATATAAAAATGATATCTGTAGATAACAGCATGGTACTGAAAGATGAGAACATTGAACCCTTTACAAAGTTATTTAGAAAGCAAAATCAGTACATGCAGTTAAAATTTCCTAATTTCCTGACAGTGATCCACAAATGACTCAAACTGAAGTGATAGAAACCTTTTATACTCAAGTACTATTTTTAAAAACTCTGATTTGTAGAGACATACCGGATAAACGTTTCAACATATAAAATGTCCAACCAACACGTTCTTCTCTCCAATCTCTAAAAATCAGAGATTTTTCAGTAAAATTATACTTTAGTAAGCAAATCTGACAACAAATATTTTATACCGAATCCGACCTTCTGTGTAATCACCAGCATGGGCAATTTTTTCAGAGAGAAAGAAGGTTGAAAAAGCACTTTCACGAGGAGAATTTGATAGTTACCCTGAACTAAGTTCAAGACTTTACGTAAGTAAGCCCACTCTGTATGGTATACTGTTTCTGGTGCAAACTAATTTTTTTTTTTCTGCCATTAGGTGACTAAGATATATTTTAAACAATCTAGAAAGATCATTCCTGTGCCTTGAATCTTCTACCATCTGCGTGAGGTTGTATATATCTTAAAATAGCCTGAGACATAGCCAAAGTAACATCCAGACATGCACAAATTAAGCTGTAAGAGAAATTCTTATTCAGTCATAATACTATAGTGATGAAATTAATTATGGGCTGACAATTTTAACTTTTATTCTTTACTGAAGGCAACCTTTAGCTGTTATAAGGCAATCAAAACAAAAACTATGATTTCTTAAAAGTGTTCACCATTTCTGTCAGAAATCAAGTCTTCCTAATAAAATACACTGCTGGGTAGCTGTCCTACGCATTTTTGTGAGATCAGAGATACAGAATTGCAGAACTACTGCCCCTCTTATATGCAATTTAAGGTATGGGAAACAATATAGAAAATGTTCTAAGAAAAAATATTGGAAAAACCATATTACATTTAATAAGACTTATCCTTGCATTCAAAAAGAAGACAATTATTTTTTTGCTGAAGTTGTTCTGTGTTCATGACTATGTAAGAGAGAGATTTGTATAGATCTGAAGGGGAACAATCCAAGATTTCTAGCACTAATGTACTAGAAATGTTGTACTAATTACTAGAAATGTAATAAAGAATCATAAAATTACTGAAGTTGGAAGAGACCACTAAGATAATCTAGTCCATCAAGCCATTAACATTATTGTCCACTGTTCCTCAGTGCCACATCCACTTTCCTTCAAAAACTCCAGGGATGGGTGGTTACTCCACCACTTTGCTGAGCAGCCTATTCCAATGCACTACCACTCTTTGTGAGAAGAAATGCTTCCTAATATCCAACTTGTACATCCCCTGGTGCAACTCATCCTAAAGGATTGTTTGGCATATATACAATAAAGCCAAAAGCCTTTTATCCACCAAGGTGCAGGCCAGTTTCTTTCTTTTACCATGAAAACCAAACTCATGCAACCCATCCAAACATGGGTTTTGGAAGCCCAAGGAAAATGTGCTAAAAGCCAAAAATTTTACATGCTTAGTACTAACTAGAAGTGCTTTAAAGTGGAGTTAGTGAAATTAATCTGACCAAAAATTCCATGTCTTAATTTAGCATTAGCTATCAGTACATGAAACAGGTTACTTTTTTCTGAGTTATAAGTACCTTTTTTTTGTAATTAATGGGATGGAAGTAATTGGATAATACAACTGTAACCCTTTATCTTAAGGTCTCATCTCTTCTCCAAGGAGTTTGGCTACAGATCCATGCACAGAAGAAGTTAAAAAGCAGAAATCACTCAAATAAGGAACAGTTACAAAGAATCACAGAATCCTCAGAGTTGGAAGAGACCTCACGTGGTTTACTTGGGCCCACTGCTCAAGCCTGTCTAGATCCCTCTGGATGGTATCCTGTCCTTCTGGTGTGTTGACTGCACTCCACAACCTGGTGCCATCAATGAACTTGGTGAGGGTGCACTCAACCCCCACAGTCAATGTCATTGATGAGGATATTAAAGAGCATTCATCCCAGCACGGACCCCCGAGGGACAGAACTTATCTCCATCCAGACAGTGAGAAAGCAAAGAGATCATAAACAGTGACTGACTGCAATTCTTTCAAGACCTTTCTTCCCCCCCCCCCCCAATAAAGGAATGTATGACTTTTACCTACTGAGAACCTTATTCTACCGAAATCTTACCTTGTGTGCAGTTTCTGCAAACTGCTGAGCACTGTTTTTCAGTTCCTCCGTCTTTTCTTCTGCTCGACCTAGTCTTTCACCACGTTCATTCAAAGCCTGACTTGCCTTCTGTACCGCACTTGTCACACTGTCTGCAGCTGAATGGAGTATGCTGTTTCCTGCAATATCAAAATAAACAGTTAGAACACACATGCACACACACACACACATATGTTTTGCATTAAATTCAAGTGTTTTCATTTATAATGTCCTAGAGTGAACGCGTAACTTGCCACTTTATCATCTAGTCACATTTTGGATAGTGGGATTAGTTAAGGTATTCAATGAAACCATATTACTTGTAAGCTATAAAAAAATATCATACTACAGTGTAATACTTGGAGAGTATTAGGAAGCAGTGGACACAGGTTAACTATGAGTTGTTGTTTTTTTTTAGCCTTATACTCCTATATTATTTCAAGAACTTACTCTAATAAATCCATTACACAGACTACAAAGGCACAGCTTTTTGAAACACTCTCAATATAGAGTAACTTTTTTTGAAACAGTCACACTGTTTCACAGAATAATAAAATGGTTTGGGTTGGAAGGGACCTTTAAGATCATCTAGTTCTATTATCGTCAGGGATATCTCCCTCTAGACCAGGATACTCAAAGCCCTGTCCAGCCTGGCCTCGAAGGGGAGGGAGCATCCACAACCTCATTGGGCAACACGTTTCAGTGTCTCATCACCTTCATAGTAGATAATTTCTTCCTAATATATAGTCTAAATCTTCTAGTTTAAAACCTTTCCTCCTCGTCCTGTTGCTACCTGCCCTTGCAAAAAGTTTTTCCACAGCTTTTCTGTAGGCCCCCTTCAGAAACTGGAAGACTACTGTAAGGTCTCCTTAGAGCCTTCTCTTCTCCAGGCTGAAAAGCCCCAGCTCTCTCACAGCCTGTCCTTGCAGAAGAGGTGCTCCAGCCCTCTGACCACCTTCGTAGCCCTCCTTTGGACCTGTCCTAACAGCTCCACATCCTTCTTGTGTTAGAGGCTCCAGAATTGGACACAGTATTCCATGTGGGGTCTCACAAGAGCAGAACAAAGGGGCAGAATCACCTTCCTTGCCATGCTGGTCACACTTCTTATGACGCAACCCAAGATACTATTCTTCTGGGCTGCAAGCACATATTGCCGGCTCATATTGAATCTCTGATCAATTAAGACTCTGAAATCCTTCTCTTCAGGTCTGCTCTCATGCCATTCTCCACCCAACACGTATCTATGCTTGAGATCTATTTTCCTCTGAATGATGCTTCCTATAAATTCAAACACTTTCTTCAATATTAAATAATAATCCTAATCAACTTTTGTGTACAAGTCCAACCTAACACTGTTGCTACAGTCATTTAATGTCACACTAATCTATCTTCATACTTTGCCCATGTGAAATACTAGTCATGATTTCATGAGACAACATTCTGAATTTAACCGATCATATTTAAAGTTACATCAAGGCTTAATATAATCTAAGCCCTTAGCTTTACCATCCAAATCTGTTAATTAATTTATCTTTTTCTTCTCTGGAATACTGCGTAACTGTTTCTTCAAGTTTTTGACAGAAGTGAATTTCTCCTCTCCGTTTACCACTTCTAAACATTCACTCAAGTCACTGTGCTTTATATCCTGCTTCTAAACAGAAGAGCTTATTCTCTTTGGTGGAGGAATTGCTGAAGAATGTTTATGATGTGTGCTACATTACAAACAACTGAAAACTCCTCACACAGTGTTGCACATTTTAAGTATGAACTAGTATGCATTAAAATACACATACAGCAAAAATGTGCATTCTACCCTTTTATGTTTTCAGCAAAAGGACTAGTAAAATATCAGCTTTCCCCAAATTGTTGGAATGAAAATTCTGTGATGTCATCCAATAGAACTGCAAAAGCTTTAAATTTTAATCTAACTTACAATAATTACTTACCAAGATATCTACAAAGTCACTGTGAGAGAGAGAAAATCAATACGGGTAGAGCAGATAGAGTATTAACTATTGGGCACATCATCACTGCTAGTTTTCTGAACTGCCTCTGAATGTTGTATTTGCACAGTCTCTTCACAGCATTAAACATAAATATTTAACATTTAAATTCTTTTTGCTGGTAAAGGTATAAAATTAGCTCAACAGCAATTTGAACATTCAAATAGAAAATTGAGCAGCATAGTAAATTTTTGCTATAACAGAGTTTGCTGTTCTTATGGACGTACAAAGACAATTTTAAATCAACACAAACCAACTGCCTTTACCTATCAATCTGAGAGGTATGACTACTTAATAATCATCACAGGTTAATAAATAAAACCCAAACACTACATTGAATGATTATTTTGCTACTAGTTTCATTAGGAAAATCAAGAACAAAAGATTCATTGAGTCTAACTATGCAGATAATACCTTTTTCCTTAGAAACAGCAAACAAACACTGAATAGAGAAACCAGAGTTTGCTCCAGATAGCCTATGAGACAACAGTGCAAACTATACACATATAAATTCTTGAGAAAAATAACCACATTTCAATATTAATTAACTAAACCAGAACTATTATCACAATATGAAGGTATGGAAGGGACCCAACAATCTACCATATGCTGACTCATGAAAGATGAATCATAATAGAAATACCAATCTGAGACCCCCTGATAACATGTCTATCAATATTGCTAATGTGCTACACACATTAATAATTAAAAATTAAATGTGTATAAGATATGGAACATCTACAGAATTCTTTGTTTTGGCACAGAACAAAGGAGCAGCATTTAGAAAAGAAAATTGGTACTATAACTAAAGACATGGATATCTAAGAATATTGTGAGCTGTCATTTGTTAAGACATAAGTGGAACTTCATCTTTTCCAGCAGTCTCTGTTTAGCCTCTGAGAAGTCTGGTTATAAAATCAAATCAAACCACTTTGTATGTTTTCTCACTTCAGTGTTTCTCAGTCAGTTGCTACTTTGTTCATAGCTTGCTTGTTTAAAGCCAGTTCCACTAATTTTTCTTGGAAGCTTATTTTGGCTTTTGTTCAGGTCATATTTCCTGTAAACAGGCGTACTTTTTTTTTTTTTTTTTGGATGAGGAGGAGTGATTTAAGGCCTCTTGTACTAATCCGTGCTGGTTTTCTGGGATAAGATTTTTTAAAAGCTCTCAACTCTGCCTGTTGCTTTGTGCAGACAGAAAACTTCCACTGAATTCAAGTGAAGCAAAGTGTATTTCAGTATATAGAATTTCATAAAACTCATAATCATTGAAAGCCTTAAAACCTGTTGGAGAATAGACGTTAACAGATTGCTGACCTGAAATGTAGGCAAACAAAGAAACAAATAATCCTATACTGTACATGAGCAACACAGAAACTCATATCTCAGTAGTCTACTGAATTCCATCAGTTTATTTCTAGAGCACACATAGCTGGTTTCTGATATGCCTGACTACACTTTTTTCTTACATTAGTATCTCTAAATAGTAGCATTTGTACTAAATCGACCGAAGAAGCATTCCTATGAACTGCATTCCTATCACATAAATTTCTTCCTATAAGCTGCAAAACTTTCAAGCTGCTTTACAAGAATTAATTACCAACATTCCAAATTTTTGGACAAGTTAGTTCTGTGACTGAACACTATGCCTGAACTGCATCTACTAAGAAGAAAATAATTTAAATTTATTTCAGCCAACTGATGTGCACAGAACCACTTTAAAAAAATACATAAAATAAACAAGTAGACATACAAAAAACTGCAATTAACTTTTTTTGCCCCCTCTTTATAAAGATTTCAGAACTTCTAATGATCTTCAGGTCAGATGCAGAATCTGCTCAACATAAAGCTTTCAACAACTTCTCATACAACGTCTTCTTGGGAAAGATTTTGTAACATTTGCAAGAGGAGAAAAACATCACCAAAAAACTGGCATGGATGAACTGGTGTTCTCAAATAAACATGAACAAAGTATCTGTATTTTACCATTTTATGAAACTGCTCTTTTTTTAAGTGCAAGCACACAGCTTTTTATTTTTTTTTTTAAACCTGGTAGTAATTGCTGACTTACGAAGTGGAACAAATAAATACTACCAGATAACATAGGAAAAGTATGTATTCAGATTGAGTATGATCTAAAGTAGCAGGTTAATGTTAATTTCTAATATAAGCAAAATGTGTATGTTTATGTCAATTCTTGATATGATATCAAGAAGGATACTGGGTTTAATTTGGTATTTTTCAACAGAAAATTTGCTATAAAAAACACAGAAACATACTACAAATTTATTTTCAGTTGCTCAAATGATTGGCTTAAAGGGGTAGCTATTAATACAGCTTTTTCTATGATACTTTGTCTTATCTGAAATTGTCTTCTCATCTGAAAAGGAATTTAACATTCAGATCCTCAATTAATAGCTATGCAGTTCAGTAATCCTTTTTTTAAAATTTTATTTTATTTTAAGCAAATCAGACATTTTGCTTTGAATTTTTGCTGCAGAACTTAAACTTCTAGAATTAAACTCCTCTTTTTCCTTAGAAAATTCAGATAGTGACTTGTGTAATTATACATAATGTGTCATGTCCAAAGGTGCAGAAACAGTGGAAGGGCAGCAACCTTTGTATGAGAGACACTGAAGAAGCAATATTTTCCGGGAAGCACTAAAGCTCCTGTCAACTTCATTTTTAGGTTTTTGGTTCTTATGATCACAAACTATGTCAGAGAATGCATAAAAAAGTGCATTCTTAATCCAGCATACACAGTACCTGAAAGATATTACAGGCTCTATCATCAATCAACATGGAAATTGATTGATTTAATTAACTAATTTGTGTCCTGAGATACCATTATTGTTTGCATGACCGGTTTTAACATACATTCATAAAAATTTCATCACATTCTCTATTAACCATGCAAAAAATATTTCATTTCAATCCAGGTTTTTATATGTACATCAGTGCTAAGACTTTACAGTCATTGTCTTGTAAACACAGGCATTTAATTTTTAATTGTGCACATATTTAGCAATTATCTTCTGTTCTGAGAATGAAATAACTGTGATTATTTATAGTAATTAAGATGCTCTGTCTATTACACCAAAACAACTTATTTCTTTTTAACAAAATAAGCTATTTATGTT